ATCCTGCGGACAGAATGGAAAGCAGTCGACGTCGCCCAAACACGTCATCTCGGATCCTCCTGATCCACTAACGGTGCTTTTAGGTACTTCAAGCACCGGTCACCGTTCTCGTCGAACCCGTCGCTTGCGACGAAGGGCTCGACGAGTAAATTAACTCTCAGACACAGCCCACTGAGTTTCTCGCCGGATCTTCTCAGTGGGTCGCGCTTCCGATCCGGTGGTAGATTCTGCGAAGCACGGCTCTTGCTAGGGTTCGTGTTAGCAAGGTTTGAGCTCACCGTGAGCTCACCTACAAACGTTAGGGTTACGCTGAAATAGCCTCTCAAGGCTCTCAGCTTAGGTAGGAAAAAAAAAAGCAATTAAAAATGCAAACTTGCTCATAATACGCCCAACGAACCGTAATAAAATATTGTGGATATTCCTCAGAATGGCATGTATACGCATCCGATTTTCTCGAAAACCGGTAACTGGCCACAGTCTGTTATAAAAATAGTAGACGAAAGAAGTAAATTGTTGGGATATCCTTACTCTCTTCTCCCTGAGTTTACTAAAGAAGAAATAGAATTTATAAAAGGTAAGATTATAGTTCTTATTAATGTATTACTGTACTCCCGAGATTTTATGTTTTTAGTCAATCAAATTATTTTCTAGATACTTACGACTTCTTCGGAATGAATTACTACATTTCAAAGTCAATAAGGAAGTCCCTGGTAAACGAACATATACCGTTGTGGCCTCTTGAGGGAGTACCGATATTGGGAGCCATTTTGGAAAGTCAACCCACTTGGACGAGTGGAGCTACGAAGTGGTTTTCGGTAAAACACATTTGTTTTTACGTACCTTAACAATTAATATTTAGTGCAACGTCTCCAGTGGAAAACGATCTTTTGAAATTTTATCTCTAACAAGAATACTCCTTCTGGAGTAACACTTTCTAGAATATTCTTACAGAAGAACGCTTTTGCGCCACACTCATGAGAGCAGGGAAATAATTATAATAAAGGGATAGTGTGATAGTCATGTGTTGATTTTTACTGCTATATTTGTCTAAATTTTTTTTATTTTTTATTGCTCAGATGGGTGGATGAGCTCACAGCCCACCTGTTGTTAAGTAGACACTGGAGCCCATAGACATCTACAACGTAAATGCGCCACCGATCTTGAGATATAGTTCTAAGGACTCAGTATAATTATGGCTACCCCACCCTTCAAACCAAAATGCATTGCTGCTTCACGGTAGAAATAGGCGGGGTGGTGGTACCTAACCGTGCGGACTCATAAGAGGTCCTACCACTAATCCATACTTGATGCCACTAAGGTTTGAACCATGCGCCAGTCCTTTAACAATTCCGTGGTAACGTATTAAATAGCAGCCAGTTTGCTGCTGCGAATGGCCGCGTCAAGAGTGCTCCGAAGATCTTGTCTGTCTCCATGTGACGTCAGCTCTGATGCTATCAATCAATAGATAGCACTGGCTTTAAGACAGTGCCCTCAATTGTCAAAAAATTGGCGATTCGTAAATTAAAATTTCAGGCCCATCCACCAGGCCTTCGTAAAGTCCTGAACTGGATCAGACATAATTACGGTGATCAGGAAATATATATAATGGAAAACGGATACGCGACCGCCGATACTGAGCTGGAAGATTTTGACAGGATCAGTTACTTGAAGGATCATTTGGAGCAGGTTCTGTTAGCCATGAAGGATGGAGTCAACGTTACCCGTTACACAATTTGGTCCTTAATGGATAATTTTGAATGGTCAGATGGTTATACGTAAGTTTTTTTTTAATTTATTTTTATTGCTTAGATGGGTGGACGAGCTCACAGCCAACCAGGTATTAAGTGGTAACTGGAGACCATAGACATCTACAATGTAAATGCGGCACCAACCTTGAGATATAAGTTCTAAGGTCCCAGTATCATTACAACGCCTGCCCCACCCTTCAAACCGAAACGCATTACTGCTTCACGTTAGAAATAGGCAGGATGGTGGTACCTACCCGCGCGGACTCATAAGAGGTCCTACCATCAGTAAGTGGTAGTTTAAATAGTCTTGTAAATTTTGGTAAAGAATTTTTAGTATTTTCAGCAATCTTTAATTTAGTGGCTGACTGATTTTTTTCGTTTGAAAGCCCTACATTTAGCAGCTTTAGTGGTAGTAGCCAGGATTTTAAGTCTGCAATAGTAGCCACCATTCTGTCTAGTTTTGCCACGATGCGGTACTAACAACACGATCAAAGGGTTCATACTGGTTAATACAGGGATCTAATAGGAGTGGAGTGGGATCTTATAGTATGTTCAGTACTGGACATCTGTGGGCTCTTTAAGTTGAATTATTACGTGTTTTAGCTAAGCCACGATTGATTAACTGTTTTAACGGAGTTCTTATGTTTTAGTAAGTTTAATTTATTGTCACTCTTAAAGGTATAGCGTAAATTAACTAAAGGTCATTTTTTTTTTAATTTCACGCCCTTGTAGGCAGACGCGCATACGGCCTACTTGAAGGTGAGTGAGTGGTTAGCGTCGCCCATGGACATCAGCAACCCTAGCACTGAGTAATCTTCGCTAGCCTCGTTAGATGAAGGGCGTATTTTTTCCTACCTATTCTATTAACCGAATTAATAAGTGAGCTCACGGGGCTCAAACCTGACTGCGTTGCTAACACTAACCCTAGCAAGGGCAGTGCTTCGCAGAATCTACCACCGGATCGGAAACGCGACCCACTGAGAAGATCCGGGAAGAAACTCAGTGTTTAGGTACCGTCGTCATATAACTATATGAATATCTTTATTTGTAACTAGGTGACCCGGCAGACTTCGTAGTGCCTCAATCGATAAATAAAAGACACTCCAAGGGGACACATCACATTATATAATTCCGAGCTTTTTTATATTTTTTCACATTTAAACCTTCCCTGGACTTCCACGAATAATTCAAGAGCAAAATTAGCCAAATCGGTCCAGCCGTTCTCAAGTTTTAGCGAGACTAACGAACAGCAATTCATTTTTATAAATAGAGATAATAAATTTATTGCAGGATAAAGTTTGGCCTGTATGAAGTGGACTTTTCGAGTCCAGAGCGAACACGCACTCCGAGGAAATCAGCGGAATACTACAAGAATATTATCGAGACCCATTCCTTGTCTGATTTCTACGTTAAAAATGAATTATAATTTATTTTATTTATTTTTACATTGTTAGTTGTACTTGTTTTTCGTTTATCGTGTAAGGTTTGTTGTAAAATAATTAAATTTGTTAATTTTGAGGAAATTTTCGGATTGCCAAATAGCAACACTGTTGGTGGGAGCTATTACAGTAGTGGGGACGTGACATAATAAAAAAGGCGGTAGTCTGAAAAAACATAACGAAAAGCGGTGTATTCGGTAGAGAACAGATGTCTAAAGATTGTACAGGTGGAGTTATAACCGCCGCCACCGCCCCGCCTATTTCTGCCGTGAAGCAGTAATGCGTTTCGGTTTGAAGGGTGGGGCAGCCGTTGTAACTACACTTGAGACCATAGAACTTATATCTCAAGGTGTTTGGCGCATTTACGTTGTAGATGTCTATGGGTTCCAGTAACCACTTAACACCAGGTGGGCTGTGAGCTCGTCCACACATCCAGGCAATAAAAAATAATAAAGCAATACAGAATTAAGTAAACTACTGCAATCTGTGTATTTATCATCATTCATCATTTCGGTAGGCAGCGGCTTGGCTCTGCTCCTGGCATTGCTGAAGTCCATGGGCGACGGTAACCACTTAACATCAGGTGGGCCGTACGCTCGTCTGCCTACAAAGGCAATAAACAAAATATTTCCTGGCTTTGGAACCAGAGTTTTACATCCGTAGTTTGTTGAAAGAAAATGAACTGTTGTTAAACTGAAAAGATGATGCTGGTGTGTGGAGTCGATATGAGCCGGTAACACTTTCGAAGGTAAACTCGGTAAACCAAAAAATCATCCGACGAGCTACCGCCCGATTAACCTCCTCATGTCGCTAGGCAAACTGTATGAGCGTCTGCTCTACAAACGCCTCAGAGACTTCGTCTCATCCAAGGGCATTCTCATCGATGAACAATCCGGATACCGTAAAAATCACTCATGCGTTCAACAGGTGCACCGCCTCACGGAGCAAACTCTTGTGGGGCTTAATCGACCAAAACCCTTACACACGGGAGCTCTCTTCTTCGACGTCGCAAAAGCGTTCGACAAAGTCTGGCACAACGGTTTGATTTTCAAGCTATTCAACATGGGCGTGCCGGATAGTCTCGTTCTCATCATACGGGACTTCTTGTCGAACCGCTCTTTTCGATATCGAGTCGAGGGAACCCGCTCCTCCCCACGACCTCTCACAGCTGGAGTCCCGCAAGGCTCTGTCTTCTCACCCCTCCTATTTGACTTATTCGTCAACGATATTCCCCGGTCGCCGCCGACCCAGTTAGCTGTATTCGCCGACAACACGACTGTTTACTATTCCAGTAGAAACAAGTCCCTAATCGCGAAGAAGCTTCAGAGCGCAGTCCTAGTCCTAGGACAGTGGTTCCGAAAACGGCGCATAGACATCAACCCAGCGAAAAGTACTGCGGTCCTATTTCAGAGGGGAAGCTCCACACGGATTTCCTCCCGGATTAGGAGGAGGAATCTCACACCCCCGATTACTCTCTTTAGACAAACGATACCCTGGGCCAGGAAGGTCAAGTACCTGGGCGTTACCCTGGATGCATCGATGACATTCCGCCCGCATATAAAATCAGTCCGTGACCGTGCCGCGTTTATTCTCGGTAGACTCTACCCCANTCAAGTACCTGGGCGTTACCCTGGATGCATCGATGACATTCCGCCCGCATATAAAATCAGTCCGTGACCGTGCCGCGTTTATTCTCGGTAGACTCTACCCTATGATCTGTAAGCGGAGTAAAATGTGCCTTCGGAACAAGGTGACACTTTACAAAACTTGCATTAGGCCCGTCATGACTTACGCGAGTGTGGTGTTCGCTCACGCGGCCCGCACACACATAGACACCCTCCAATCTCTACAATCCCGCTTTTGCAGGTTAGCCGTCGGAGCACCGTGGTTCGTGAGGAACGTTGACCTACACGACGACCTGGGCCTCGAATCTATCCAGAAATACATGAAGTCAGCGTCGGAACGGTACGGTCGATAAGGCTATGCGTCATGATAATCGCCTTATCGTTGCCGCCGCTGACTACTCCCCGAATCCTGATCACGCAGGAGCCAGTCACCATCGACGCCCTAGACACGTCCTTACGGATCCATCAGATCCAATAACTTTTGCATTAGACGCCTTCAGCTCTAACCTTCAGGCAGCAGGTTAGCAGCTTAGCAGCTTAGCAGGCTTAGGGACCTCGGTAACCGTACTCGTCGAACTCGACAAAAAGTTCGCCGTGCAACCTAACCCATGAATCAGCTCGCTGAGTTTCTCGCCGGATCTTCTCAGCGGGTCGCGATTCCGATGCGGTAGTAGATTCATTCGCGAAGCAGCTGCTCTTGAGCTGTTAGGTCTCCTTCGGAGGCGCTCGGGTAGCTGTTAGCAAATCCCACCCCTGCTGGCTGAGCTTTTGCTCGCCCACCTGTCCTGGTGAAACTGGAAAGGCCTCCGGGCCACCAGTAATCCTTCAATTATAAAAAGAAAAAAAACTTTCGAAGGTTCGAGATTTTTATTTTATTTGTTTTGTTTCTTTGTATCTATTTGTTTTATGTTGGGAATAAATTGTTAAAGGATTATCAGGGCGGCGGCGACAACGTTACATCCGCACGAAATAATTTATTCTCTTTAATAACACGTTAGGACGGTTAGAATACGAATCAATCAGAAATATGCTAACCGCCGGTATTTATACAATCATCTTGACCTATTTAGATACAAACTTAATAGGTAATATTAAACATTATTTAACTTAATTATTCTTAATGATTATTTATTTACAATTATTGTTTAATAATATCGAATTATATAACATTAAAGGTATATTGCGCCGGAAGCTGTCAAGCGGAAGGTGCCAATAAAATATTTAAAGTATAAATAAATATTAATCAACAATTTACTTGATAATGAAATTACTAATCACTAGAGGTCCCGCAGTAGTCGAAATTCGACTATAATTGGAATTGTAAGTACACTATTAGGATTGTATTTTATACTTCTATAAAAAAATATTAATAAAGATAAACAATATTTAATCTATTCTCAATTTGACCACAGACGTCAAGAACCAAAGTTTGACAATAAATAGTATGCATGCGTGTGTGCGTCAAATACATGGTATGTAGTGTGTGTAATGTTTTCTTTATTGATTTAATGTATCTTTTATGCATTATTAAAAAAAATATTAGCATTGTGCACTTCTTCTCTATATTCTCTATAAGTGTGGAAAATTTCATACTCCTCCGCCCGCGCAATTTTCGTAAAAAGGGATACAACAGTTTTTACTTCACGTATTAATATATTACTAATTATATTATAAGACAATAAGTTCTATATATTACCTAATCATTAGGATGTACCTTAACTAGTTCGTAAATAATTTATTATGTGTATATAATAAACGTTAATTTAAAAATATAGTTTCATGTCAAAAAAATAAGCCAAATTAATAAATATTTTTTTATTTATATATTTAATTATTTATTTTGAAAACGTAAAATCAGAATACATATATGAAGACGCGTATTGTTAAAATAAAATATTACTTAATTTTGACCATATTACATTTCTTTACAACGTGTCTTCGGACTTTGATTTAAATTGTTTGGAATCAATAGATCTGCTCTTGATGACATGTGAATAGTATTGAGATGAAATTCTTGGGGTGCGCTTACGGTTTTTGTCGGTAAAATCGACTTTATATAAACCGAATTTTGGTCTGAAAATATCAAAAATTAATTAAATACATTTTTGTAATTAATTAAAACACATTTAAAGCTGTATGCAGACATCAGTTACGGGTTTTCGGCACGAGTAGGTACCACCACCCCGCCTGTTTCTGTCGTAAAGCAGTAATGCGTTTCGGTTTGAAAGCTGAAGCAGCCGTTGTACTTTAAAACTGAGACACTAGAATAAATATCTCAAGGTGTGTGGCGGGATTTACGTTGTAGGTGTCTATTGGCTCCGGTAGCCACTTAACACCAGGTGGGCCGTGAGCTCGTCCACCCATCTAAGCAATAAAAAAAGTAACATGATTCTTTGTAGGTGTTATTTGCTTCCAGTCTCGCATTCTAAGACTCAGAATAACTCCTGAAAGCTATAGTGGTAGGCCGTATCATGCGACATAGGCAGGCACCACCATGTTGTCTCTTTCAACGGCTCAAAGGGACCCACAGCAGCACAATTGCACAATACAGTTGAGACTAACATGTCATTACGGATCCTCCTGATCTATTAACGGTGCTTTTAGGTACCACAAGCACCGGTTATCATCCTCGTCGAACCGGTCGCTTGCGACGAAGAGCTCGACGAGTGAATTAACCCACAGACACAGCCCACAGAGTTTCTCGCTGGATCTTTTCAGTGGGTCGCGATACCGATCCGGTGGTAGATTCTGCGAAGCACTGCTATTGCTAGGGCCAGGGTGGGCAACATTCCCGGTTAGAGCTCCTTGAGCTATACGTCAAAAAGAAGCCGAAATAGTCTCTCAAGGCTATCAGCATAGGTAGGGAAAAAAGAAAAAAAAGTTGAGACTTCAGATCTCTAGATGGCTGTTGGTGATATCTATGAGCTCTGGTAACCGCCTAACAGCCGTTGGGCTTGTCTGCAGATATAACTCTTTCTCTTTATGGAAACTTTTATTTTGAAAGTACCGTAGATTTTTCGGAAGCTTTTCGAATTGTTGTCTACTTCCTATTTATTTCTAAGTATGGCAACTCTACACTCTAGTTTATGGGAGCGATGAAATATCCAATATAAAAGCTTTTTATTCCTAGCGTTATAAGAATAGCATTGACATACCTATCCACTCCCTAAGTCCTGTACGCATTGTTATGTTACAGCTTCAATGTTTTCATTCACCACAAAGTTGAAGCAACATCCAATAGAAATCATAAAAAGCGTGGTATGGACATGTGATGCGTAGAGAGAAGATGCATGTGACTAGGAGATGTATGGAAATGGTAGTGCAAGGTAGAGGGGGAAGAGGTCGACCGAATCAGACATGGATGGAGTGTGTGAATGACGATATGAGAGCCAGAGGAGTGAGTGTTAAGATGACGGCTGATAGAAGAGAATGGAAGAGAAAAATTAGCTGTGCCGACCCCACCTAGTGGGATAAGGTGGAGAAAAAGAAGAAGAAAAACCGAGGGAACTAGATATGACAGATCTGACTTACGTATATCCACTCGTCCATTCAAAGTTATCCATTAACGACCAGTAACAGTATCCAAATATTTTAGCTCCATCCTCGTGAATGCTAAGTAGGATCTAAAAGAAAATGAGTTTGTTTTTTGAATTTGTATCGAATAGCTATATCATAGAATATATTTCACAGAAGCTATTGTGATGTTGAGCTTTCGTATATAAAAGTTTCGGACATTAATATTCGGGCGGTCGGTCTACCTAGCAACTTCTACTGTACTGTTTATTCATTAGATGTCAGAATCTCAGCTCACAGGCAGATTTATTCGCGGACCTTAGGTGCGAAGTCAGTGGCACCCATAGGCAAGAAATGTTAATGCCATTTTGGTGTGTGAAGCAAAATTGTCATACAAAACACTAAGGTTCCAGTTTTTAATACACTTTTATTAGCTTCAGACTTCAGACCGTGTTTTTCAGGATATTACCAAAATAACCTTTCTATTCATATCTGTTCATAAAATATTTATAGCTACTGGCACCGAGCACGCCACGCTTTTTTTACAATCAAATATTTTTTTCTTACACTATTTTTAATTCAAATTTATTAAACTTTATTTTCTATTTTTTTGTTGAATTTTCTATAAAAGCGTATTTTGTTGGTTTTTTTTTTAAATATTTTTTATGACGAATCTTTAAAAGAGCTATGTTTGGTCAGACGCGCCCAATTTTCAGGCTGGTCGTTATTTCAGCTGCAGTACGGCATCTCTACTTCAAACCTTGTCCACCCAATGCTGAGTGTAGGTCTCTTCATATGCACTACATTCGTTTTGGTCTATTGGCTTTCGCATCCAATCCTTACCAGCTATTCCACTTCGATAAAGCGGCACGACACGAGAACCCTCTCATCGTGGCCGCCGGTAACTACATTCCCGATCCTGCGGACCGAATGGAAAGCAGTCGACGTCGCCCAAAACACGTCATCTCGGATCCTCCCGATCCACTAACGGTGCTTTTAGGTACTTCAAGCACCGGTCACCGTTTTCGTCGAACCCGTCGCTTGCGACGAAGGGCTCGACGAGTAAATTAACTCTCAGACACAGCCCACTGAGTTTCTCGCCGGATCTTCTCAGTGGGTCGCGTTTCCGATCCGGTGGTAGATTCTGCGAAGCACGGCTCTTGCTAGGGTTCGTGTTAGCAACGTCATTAGGTTTGAGCCCCGTGAGCTCACCTACTAAAGTTAGGGTTACGCTGAAATAGCCACTAGGGCTATCAGCTTAGGTGGGAAAAAAAAAAAAAAAAGAACCAGCTATTTTAACCAGGTCATCGGTCTACCTCATTGGTTGTCTGCCCACGTTTTACCATAGAACAATATTTACAGTATCATCATAATCGGTTGCTCTTGGCAGACCAGTCGTGGTCATATGGAATTCTTGCTTATTAAAGCCTTGACAGATGTTTTCCATAGTTTGCGAACTGATCCTTGGCGCACACACTCGTTAAGTGGGGTTTCAGTAAGGTCTTTCACTTGATCAGTCCAGCGCATGGGGATTCGTCCACGAGATCTCTTACCATTGACCCTACCCTGAACAACAAGTTTCTCGATAGACTCTGCTGGCCGTCGCGACAGTATATTTCTCTCTAAATGGCACATGTATCAGAAAGATAAGTCCAAACGTAATTTCGAAGTATTTGTCGGGAATGACTAGAGAGAGGTGAGTTTTGTTAGCACGCAAAAAGTAAATAAAACCGCATAAAAAAAAAGGATTGTGTGGTTTTCTGAAACCACGGTAAAAGTGAAACTTTTTTTTCACATTATAGACATTTAACTCTGACAAACAACATTTACATTAAACACTGACAAAAACAAACAAAATAGCGTGGAGCACTGGCACAAATGAGTAATAGTCTATACACTACACGGTCAGCTGCTGCGAACTGTAGGCGGCGCCATATTGGCCGTGACTGCTCTGACGAGCGCCTTTCACTTTATCCTTACTCCGCGGCCGACCGTCACGCGACATGCGACACACAGACGAAACAGTTTGAGACGATGTAATAAAAGTTTCACAAACAATTAACAAATTTATATCACATGTCGCGATATCAATGTTAAAAAAATATATATGTATATACAAACTTGTTCCAAATGCTTCTCAATGTAAGCGATCCTTTTATAGTCGTTGAGGTCGTCTTCAAAAGAGGAGTAGCCGTTTTCCGTAATGATTATGTTTTGCTCCCCATAATTTTTCCTGACCCAATTTATTGTATTTCGAAGCCCTTCAGGGTACGACTGTAAAATTTTATGAATAAGCAACAATATAAGCAACAGATTACGACATTAAAAAAAAGTAATCTGATATATTGTATGCAGTGGTTTTGAACGCAGTGAAATGTATTGAGTTGTATGTAAATTGGCCTTTGATTCTTCAATTGAACATCTATAAGTACGCGAACCCCAATATTCCCTAATGAGTTAAGTCGTCTTGGTCTTAGGGATAAGACGTCCGGTGCATTCTTGTTGAGCGATGCACCGGTGTTCGAATCCCGCAGGCGGACACCAATTTTTCTAATTAAATACGCACCCAACAAATGTTCACGATTGACTTCCACGGTGGAGGAATAACATCGTTTAATAAAAATAAAACCCGAAAAATTATAATTTGCGTAGTTACTGGTGGTAGGACCTCTTGTGAGTCCGCGCGGGTAGGTACCACCGCCCTATTTATTTCTGGCGTGAAGCAGTAATGCGTTTCGGTTTGAAGGGTGGGGCAGCCGTTGTAACTATACTTGAGACCTTAGACTTATATCTCAAGATGGGTGGCGCATTTAAGTCGTAGATGTCTATGGGCTGCAGTAACCACTTAACAGCAGGTGGGCTGTGAGCTCGTCCACCCATCAAAGCAATAAAAAAAAGAGTAATATCTAATATAAGAGAACATACGCTAAACGTTTCAGGATATCCTTCAGTGCTGTTTGGGTAGTGTTCGTAAATCGCACGCAACTCCGAAACCTTTCCGGGTGTTTTTTCTGAAGTTTCATAGGCTCGGGCTTTTCTCACCAAACGGCTGGTGTAGTAGTTCAATCCGAAGAAGTCGTAGGTACCTAAAGAATAAACATCGGGGAGTTAATTTAAAACTACTTATACGCTTTAGGGTGGATTCGACCAAACTTAAATTTATACTCAAGTAACTATACGAGGAATAACCTATTCCATGATTTTAATCTCGAGTAAATCCATAGTCGTTTTTCCACGTATACTTGCGCTAGGAATAACAATACGCGAATAGCAGAGTGAATGGTGAACAAAAATAAAATCCGGCAAATAAATGTTGTTGTTCAACGGCATAGTGTAAGAGCATACAAATCGTCAACTCGATTTTGCTATATTTTAGTGTTGTGAAAGATATCCAGCTGTCAAACGTATTATTTTTATTTGTTGTTTGTTTGAGGGAATTGTCAAGTTTTGTCGTGTGGTTTTATCTTTTTTCGGTTAAGCGTTGCATTATACAATGCCAGACTATTAATAATAATTTAGTGCATTGCGTTGACTTGATATTAAAACAGAATAAATATTTATGAAATGACAGAAATCAGATGTTGGACTGACTGACGCCATTACTTTATTCTAGGAATAGCTCCGTTATTCCGTGCGAAACGGCGGTATAGTAACAATTCCCGAATAAGCCCACTATTCTTAGAATTGTAGATGGTAAAACGTAAAATTGATTTACTCTCGATTAACTGACGAGTTATTCTAAGAATAAGATTTACTCTTGTTTGGTCGAATCGACCCTTTTTTTTTTTTTTTTTTTTTTTTTTCGGGTAGAGGGCCGAACCTCCTACGAGGTCCCCGCGCAAAAGGGGCGCGCGGGGTATGTGAGACTCAACGATCTGCATGGTGTTGTGAGCAGACCGCGGGCCCAAGGATTTTAGGATCCACCCACTAAACGACTCCCCTGCACTCTTACACCCGACGTCCGATCCCCTCCGAGGTCAGAACCCGGATGAGGTAGGGGGGCTACCGCGGTCAACACTACAACCAGACGGCGCGGCTCACCCCAAGGACGCCCAGCCGACGGAGCCTTCGAGGCGAATCGAAGGCTCTGAAACGTCGGCCGTCTCGGTACGGCAGCCCGTCGGGCCGCCCAGACGGTGCCGCTGGTGTCCCGGAATACCCCGCTGGACCAGAACCAGCCTGCCGGGTCGGGACGCGATACACCGTCGACCGGTCGCTCTATTCACTCCACGGCAGCGCGCTAGAGTGCTGGTAGCGCGCCGCGCGGCCTCACCCCCTCAGGTCGCCCCTTGACCTTCACCGGGGGGAGACCGCCATGGTCGAATCGACCCTAAGTCTTGTGTTTTTTTTTATTTTCATTATAATATTTTTTACGTTTTAATGCTTAACAACTTTCGTGGGCACGAACGACTAAGGTTTGGTGCGTCGACATTTGTACTAATTAATTCATGTGATTCGTATACAGATTACAAAAAAAATAAAAATAAAAAACTAATGGCACTCGGGGACTGCCGCGGTAACGCTATTGGATAGCATTTTTTATCAACTTATGCTATTATAATTGGACAATAATAATTTAATATGAAAACAATATATTTATAAACATTAACAAAAGTGAAACATTAACTGTCCCCTTCACACTCATAAGCTAGACCGCGCGAGAGAGAGACGGGCAGACTTTTCACGATGCGCATGCAGTGCGACGTCATGCCGCGCGCTTATTCACAAACATTACACAAGCGCAACGTGTGAATGTGTTGAACGCGAGCTACATGGTAAGCGGAGTGGAGGGTGTTAGGTTTTATTTTCGTTATGGCATTTCTTGATTCGGTCGCCGCGCTCAAAGCCCGCGATAAAAGCTATGCAATAGCTTAAAAATAAGAGATTAAACTTCTAAAAACTACTTGTAATCGCACGGGTAAGTGCTCCCACCTTACCTATTTCAGTCGTGAAGCAGTAACGCGTTCTTGTTTGACTCTCTTTCTACTCGTTTTGTTTTTTTTAAAGACTGAGGGATCACTGGTGGCCTGGAGGCCTTTCCAGTTTCACCAGAACAGGTGGGCAAGCAAGGGCTCAGCCAGGAGGGGTGGGATTTGCTAACAGCTACCCGAGCGCCTTCAAATGAGACTTAACAACTCAAGAGTAGCTGTTTCGCGAATGAATCTACAACCGGATCGGAATCGCGACCCGCTGAGAAAATCCGGCGAGAAACTCAGCGAGCTGAAGCTTAGGTTACGTAACACGTCGAAGTCTTTTTTATTTTATTTTTATTGCTTAGATGGGTGGACGAAATCACAGCCCACCTGGTGTTAAGTGGTTACTGGAACCCATAGACATCTACAAAGTAAATGCACCACACACCTTGAGATATAAGTTCTAAGGTCTCAGTATAGTTACAACGGCTGCCCCACCCTTCAAACCGAAACGCATTACTGCTTCACGGCAGAAATAGGCGAGGCGGTGGTACCTACCCGTGCGGACTCACAAGAGGTCCTACCACCAGTAATTACGCAAATTATAATTTTGCGGGTTTGATTTTTATTACACGATGTTATTCCTTCACCGTGGAAGTTAATCGTGAACATTCGTCAAGTACGTATTTTATTAGAAAAATTGGTACCCGCCTGCGGGATTCGAACACCGGTGCATCGCTAGATACGAATGCACCGGACGTCTTTTGCCTTAAGTATAGGTAGTGTCATGTCATAGGCATCATAAATATGCTTTGATGGGTGGACGAAATCACAGCCCACCTGGTGTTAAGTAGTTACTGGAGGCCATAGACATTTACAACGTAAAAGCTGCCAACCACCTTGAGATATGAGTTCTAAGGTCTCACGTATAGTTACAACGGCTACCCCGCCCTTCAATTCAAACCGAAAACCATTACTGCTTCACGGCAGAAATAGGCACATCGTATAATAAAAATAAAACCCGCAAAATTATAATTTGCGTAATAACTGGTGGTAGGACCTCTTGTGAGTCCGGGCGGGTGGGTACCACCACTCTGCCTATTTCTGCCGTAAAGCATTAATGCGTTTCGGTTTGAAGGGTGGGGCAGACGTTGTAACTATACTTGAGACTTGGTGGGTGGCGCATTTACGTCGTAAATGTCTATGGGCTCCAGTAACCACTTAACACCAGGTGGGCTGTGAGCTCGTCCACTCATCTAGCACTAAAAAAAAAAAATAGATCAAACCTCTAATAAGTTCGATTTCGCGTTTTGACAAGGATGGTAATCTTGAACGTGGATGTCCTCCCTCTGCGCTGATTTTATTCATAAACATCACGAGACTGGGGGGCCATCCGCCTGTCTTGGAGTATACTGGGTGCAGGTAACGCCCGTACTGAAAGTTTTTCAAAACACGAATATTAAACGGTGTATTATTGTATGTATATTAATATATACTAGAGTGGTCCCGCAGTAGTCGAAATTCGACTATAATTAATTGAAATTGTAAGTTTGTACACTATTATGATTGTATTTTATACTTCTATAGTTACAAATTTCGCCAAGGCTACACTATAAAAAATATTAATAAAGACAAACAATATTTAATCTCAATTTGACAACAGACGTCAAGAACAAAAGTTTCACAATAAATAGTATGCATGCGTGTGTGCGTCAAATACATCGTATGTGGTGTGTGTAATGTTTTCTTTATTGATTTAATGTATCTTTTAAGCATTATTTAAAAAAAAAATTAGCATTATGCACTTCTTCTCTATATTCTCTATAAGTGTGGAAAGTTTCATACTCCTCCGTCCGCGCAATTTTCGTAAAAAGGGATACAAAGTTTTTGCTTCACGTATTAATATATAGATTTTTTTTTTAATTGCTTATATGGGTGGACGAGCTCACAGCCCACCTGGTGTTAAGTGGTTACTGGAGCCCATAGACATCCACAACGTAAAGCGCCACCCACCTTGAGATATAAGTTCTAAGGTCTCAAGTTTAGTTACAACGGCTGCCCACCCTTCAAACCGAAACGCATTACTGCTTCACGGCAGAAACAGGCAGGGTGGTGGTACCCACCCGCGCGGACTCACAAGAGGTCCTACCACCAGTAAATTTACCGAATAATGCTAACAATTAAAAGGCTTACGCTATACTGGTTGCATAGATCAGTGATTTCCTTGTCATCATCAGTTTTTGCGCCAAAGTAAACGATGTTATTAGCGATGGAGACTTTACCTGGACAAAAAGGGACCTTTAAATATCAAGCTAGCACTCAACACGACAAGTGCCTCCCGAAATTTAAATATAATTAATTTCAATAAGGTTTGAGGACCGTTGGAAGATATTGCCTCTTAGTTAGACAGAGTCAATCTTGAGGCCCGCTTTCTCATGTTTTAAGCTAGGAGGCGGGATGTTGAGGAAAAGCGGTCTTAGCCGATTGACTTTAAAAAATATGCTCACAGCCCACCTGATGTTAAGTGGTTGCTGGAGCTCATAGACATCTACGACGTAAATGCGCCACCCACCTTGAGATATAAGTCCTAAGGTCTCAGTATAGTTACAACACATACACATACATAGTTACAACGGTTGTCCTACCCTTTAAACCGAAACGCATTACTGCTTCACCACAAAAATAGGCAGGGTGGTGGTACCTACCCGTGCGGACTCACAAGAGGTCCTAATACCAGTACACGCACTACTCCAGTACCTATGGTTTTCATAGATAATAAGATTTTATTAGCTTAATCCCGTTGATAAGGGTTCACAAAATACACAGGCATAAATTCGGCCCATCACTCGTAACATTTTGGTTCAGTTACAGCTGCGTTTAGCCCATCAGAGCCCATCAGAGCCCATCAGAGCCCATAGAATGAAACTACAATATGAATGCTCTCACCCATNTATTGCTTATATGGGTGGACGAGCTCACAGCCCACCTGGTGTTAAGTGGTTACTGGAGCCCATAGACATCCACAACGTAAAGCGCCACCCACCTTGAGATATAAGTTCTAAGGTCTCAAGTTTAGTTACAACGGCTGCCCACCCTTCAAACCGAAACGCATTACTGCTTCACGGCAGAAACAGGCAGGGTGGTGGTACCCACCCGCGCGGACTCACAAGAGGTCCTACCACCAGTAAATTTACCGAATAATGCTAACAATTAAAAGGCTTACGCTATACTGGTTGCATAGATCAGTGATTTCCTTGTCATCATCAGTTTTTGCGCCAAAGTAAACGATGTTATTAGCGATGGAGACTTTACCTGGACAAAAAGGGACCTTTAAATATCAAGCTAGCACTCAACACGACAAGTGCCTCCCGAAATTTAAATATAATTAATTTCAATAAGGTTTGAGGACCGTTGGAAGATATTGCCTCTTAGTTAGACAGAGTCAATCTTGAGGCCCGCTTTCTCATGTTTTAAGCTAGGAGGCGGGATGTTGAGGAAAAGCGGTCTTAGCCGATTGACTTTAAAAAACATGCTCACAGCCCACCTGATGTTAAGTGGTTGCTGGAGCTCATAGACATCTACGACGTAAATGCGCCACCCACCTTGAGATATAAGTCCTAAGGTTTCAGTATAGTTACAACATTGCCGCCCCACCCTTCAAACCGAAACGAATTACTGCTTCACGGCAAAAATAGGCAGGGTGGTGGTACCTACCCGTGCGGACTCACAAGAGGTCGTAACACCAGTACACGCACTACTCCAATACCTATGGTTTTCATAGAGAATAAGATTTTATTAGCTTAACCCCGTTGATAAGGGCTCACAAAATACACAGGCATAAATTCGGCCCGTCACTCGTAACATTTTGGTTCAGTTACAGCTGCGTTTAGCCCATCAGAGCCCATCAGGGCCCATCAGAGCCCATAGAATGAAACTACAATATGAATGCTGTCACCCACCTTCGATATTTGAAGTCAAAGTCTGAATATTATATTGTAATATAATTATATTGCTACCTTTTTGGATGGCGAGAAAGCAGCAGAAATTCCACCTTGACATTGGTAGGCGTGGTATGTGGAAGTCAAACCTCGTGTTTGGCGTAAAAGATAGGACATCTTTTGTAAGCCTATCGAGCAATACTACTATGCCAATGCTAAAATCTCGCAGGCACCAATGGTACCAATAAGAAAATGCGTACATATTTAAGAAGTGTTCTAAGTTGCGGTTTGGCTGATTTGGATGTTTCATTTGCGGAATCACTGACGGTTGGACGTTTTGTAAGTCCGCATAGATAGGTACCGCCATTCGGCCTACCTCTGCCGCGAAATAGTCACGCAAGAGCTGTTAATGATCTCGACGTGATATTATGGGGCTTAGGACATATCGATATCACCTCTTGTGAGTCCGCGCGGGTAGGTACCACCACCCTGCCTATTTCTGCCGTGAAGCAGTAATGCGTTTCGGTTTGAAGGGTGGGGCAGCCGTTGTAACTATACTGAGACCTTAGAATTTATATCTCAAGGTGGGTGCGCATTTACGTTGTATATGTCTATGGGTTCCAATAACCACTTAACACCAGGTGGGCTGTGAGCTCGTCCACCCATCTAGCGATTAAAAAAAAGATGTTGCATTGTAGTTATTGCACATATCCGTTTTGGTGCTCTTAATACCAATTTTAAGTGCTTTTCATACCAACCTTTATACAATGGCTTATATTTCTTGTTATATATATGGTAAGCCTTAGCGTGGGCCATTAGTACAGTCTTGGTGCATAAGTAAGGGCCTAATTCGGGTTCATCGATTCCAGGAGCATGGGGCCCACTATTATACGTGAAATCACAAATAAGCACCGGCTCATTGATCGTGATCCAAAGCTTCACTCTATCTCCGTACAGAGAGAATACTACGTCCGCGTAATCGGCAAACCATTCTGACATTTCAGGATTGGCCCAACCTCCTGTAACAAAATTATATTAAACTAGCTGACCCGGCAGACTTCGTAGTGCCTCAATCGATAAATAAAAGACCTAAGATTTTGTATAAAATAAACTTAGAAACAAAAGGAATCCGTCCGACGGGGGACACATCAAAGGAAAAACAAAATTGTTATTTTTATTTCATTCCGAGCTATTTCATATTTATCTAAACTTTTAAACCTTCTCATGGACTTCCACAAATAATTCAGGAGCAAAGTTAGCCAAATCGGTCCAGCCGTTCTCGATTTTAGCGAGAATAACGAACAGCAATTCATTTTTATATATATAGATGGCTATCGTGACTAGTCTCACGAGGAAGCAACAAATTGGAAATTAAGAGCAATACGCATCTTTTAAAATAGAGGGAAAAAGGCCTAGGGGTAGAGGTCCCAAACGATGGTCAGACCAAATAGCGGAGGAACTGGGGATACCTATCAGCGACGCACTCCACCGGGCTGCAGGGCGGGATCGATGGAGACAGTTGGTTGACGAAATCGGACGGAGTCACGATCCTCAGCAGTGAGGAACCGATCGAAGAGAGAGAGAGAGAGAGAGAGAGAGAGACGCATCTTTTACAGAATCAAATACATGTATAGATTTAAAATACCAAATGAGAATCAAGTCAGGTCACATTAATTTCAGGGTAAATAATGAAAGACATTAGCGCAACGTTTCATAAAATCGCAAAGTTTGCGCAAGTGGCCTACTGAAAACACAACTGAATATCTTGGAACACCAGTGGTAGTCGTTGTTCAGGATCTGCTTATTTCTGCAGCGAAGTTATTTAATACGCTATTATTATGAGTTTGACCTGCATTGCCGTTTAGTATGGAGATAGGTAAAGTCATTTTTTTTAAAAGCTAATTTTTCAACGCCCTTTTTGAAGAAGCTGTACGGGAAACAACAAACCCTATTTTGTAACCTACCCCACCCTATTTTGTAAACAAATAATATAACTTAATTAAATTAAAAACTATTGTCCAGACTTTGGAAAAAGCAGAAGTCTTTCGGCGCAATATCTGTTGAGTACGGTGGATGGCACAAAACTTCTAACCTTCATTCCATATCGCCTTTAACTCATTGTTGTTGACTTTAGTTTTCCCCTTCAAACCGATACGTATTAACGCTTCACGGCGGTAACAGGCAGGTTGATGATACCTACCCTTATGGACCCACAACATGCCCTTACCACCAGTAAACACGCCCTAACACCAGTACACGTACTACTCCAATACCTATGGTTTTTATACAGAATAAGATTTTATTAGCTTAAGCCCGTTGATAAGGGCTCACGAGGTTCACAGGCTTGAATTTGGCCCATCACTCGTAACATTTTGTTTTAGTTACAGTTGCGTTTTAAATAGCACTTGCAACTTTAAGATTGGAGCTCGATTGGCAGTAGAAATATATGGGACGATGGTACTAATTTATGCGGGCTCTAAAAAATTTGTATTACCTGTTCCTAGGTAGGAAAATAAAAGCAAAATATTACTATTATAAATGGAATTATTAAAACTTTAAATCATATCAAACATTAGTGACTGAGCTAGTGATTTCACACTGTGTTTTTTTTAAAGTAATCGTATTATGTCGTAGCTTGGAAAGGTGTGTTGATCTGAATCTGTTTAGCCTGTCTACCACCAAAATACTTTTGTTTTAAGCTCGCGACACACACGACCTAGGTTTTTGTATTATTTTGAATGAGTGATTACTGGTAGCCCAGAAGCGTTTTTAGCTTCATCAGGACAGGTGGGTGAGCAAAGGCTCAGCTAGGAGGGGTGGGATTTGCTAACAGCTGCCCGAGTGCCCCCGAAGGAGACCTAACAAGTCAAAAGCAGCTGCTTCACAAATGAATGTACTACTGGATCGGAATTACGACCCGCTGAGAAGATCCGGTGAGAAACTCAGCGGGCTGATACATGGGTTAGGTGGCACGTCGAACTCCTTGTTGAGTTCGACGAGTACAGTTTCCGGGGTCCATAAACCTACTCCTAGTGAAGCTCCTAGTGAGCTGAAGGCGTCTAATGCAAAGGTTCGGTGCCCTAGGTATCCTTTGATACGCGCACAAATTACAAGCAGAAATATTACCCAAATCCTGAAGCTTCTGCGGTAAATCCCAATGATACAAAGTCACCAATGGCTGGACTCCCTTTTTCAGTAGTCCATTAATCAGGTTATCGTAGTATTGTTTGCCATCTTTACTGATCTTCGTACAAAACCCTTCAGGTAACAGTCTTGGCCATGATATGGAGAATCTGCGAATATACAATGCCAGACATAATGGTATTAATCATTGATTTGTCTAGATTATTTTTCTTTTTCATCATACTCTAACTCGGTCTGTATCTCAAAGTTTTTTTTTATATTTATATTCTATGAAAACGTTGTTTGATTAGCTTACAAACGTCCGGACTACAATCGGAAGTCTTAATGCTACGCGATCTACAAATTGATGTTAAACTAGAGGACCCGCAGTAGTCGAAATTCGACTATAATTATTGGAATTGTAAGTTTGTACACTATTATGATTGTATTTTATACTTCTATAATCACAAATTTCGCCAAGACTACACTATAAAAAATATTAAAAAGACAAACAATATTTAATCTATTCTCAATTTGACAACAGACGTCAAGAACATAAATTTGACAATAAATAGTATGCATGCGTGTGTGCGTCAAATACATGGTATGTAGTGTGTGTAATGTTTTCTTTATTGATTTAATGTATCTTTTATGCATTATTTAAAAAAAAATTAGCGTTGTGCACTTCTTCTCTATATTCTCTATAAGTGTGGAAAATGTCATACTCCTCCGTTCGCGCAATTTTCGTAAAAAGGGATACAAAGTTTTTGCTTCACGTATTAATATATAGATAGCCTGTTTTTTATTTATTTAAGACAGCTTACAATCATCTCGTAAAATAACGTACGAAGTTAATAATGATTGATAATTTGTTCTAAAAAAGAAATGTATGGCGAATGAATGTCATTAACATTTGCTTTACAAAATAACGTTTTTCTTTCGTTATCTTTCTGAAGGAATGAGTGAGAATTCCTTTTTTTCATTGATAACTACAATTGTTACATCGTCCGATTCTGAACTACCTATGGAACTCACCAAGAAAAAAGAAAATAATGTGGTCATAACAAATTTAATTACTTGGCGATAAGTAAATACGTGTTTTTGATTAGTTTATAATAAATATTTTAACCTTTGCTGCCACAAAAATTGCGACAAGTTATTTGATGTCATTTTTACAAGAGTGGTTTACGGTGGCTTGAATAAATTAACAATTAGCACGGTTGCTCATAAAATCAAGTCAATCAATAAATTATTCATAAGATTTAACATATGCGAAGAAATCTGTATTATAATATTATAAAGCTGAAGAGTTTGTTTGTTTGAACGCGCTAATCTCAGGAACTACTGGTCCGATCTGAAAAATTCTTTCAGTGTCAGATAGCCCATTTATTGAGGAAGGCTACTTATAACATCACACTAAGACCAATAAGAGCGGAGCACTAATAACCTCCTCTTTTGAAGTCGGCTTAAAAACATGATTTTGGTACCTTAAATAGCTCCTTGACGTTCTATTATTCAAAAATATACTTACTTCTACGTAAATGAAGTGGGGGGTAAAATTTAGCGTTATACCAAAGTTACTATTCCACGCGGACGAAGTCGCGGGCAAAAGCTAGTACTAAATAATTAGTAAGTAGACATTTTTCTTACCTATAATAATCAAGTCCCAAGTGATCGGCCATCTCAATATCCTTCAAGTATTGGTTGTAAGAGTCACAAGCAACATCACCGTTGGAGTAATCTTCGATTTTATGAGGCTGCGTGTGAGTAAAATGATCCCAAATGCTTGGAGCTTTGTCTGAAAAAAGGGAAGGACTGAAAAATAAGATATATTTGAGGAGCGGTATACTTATTAGTCCTGGTGACCATCCTTCTTCTTAATAGTCCTACTATGTATTTTTTTTTTGGAACGAAGTTCCTTATGGGACGATGCGGAGGGGTACCCTAACCGGGAAGAAACGTCCGTAACGTAAGATTTTTATCAGTAATGCACACAGTGTACGACTTAACTTTGTAATAACGTACAAAAAATTGCATATTTTTTTATCATTCATTGACCACGATCTCAGAGCGTTCGTTTGCGCAATACACTAAGTCGCTGCCGGAGTCCAAGTGGCGAAGGGGGTTTTGTGTCACGAGGAGATCTCTGAATTTTGGCGCACACGCTGAAGACGGTAGCAATTCGGAGTTGAACCGTCTAGAGCTCCAGTCTTTCTTTTTTTTTATTGCTTAGATGGGTGGACGAGCTCACAGCACACCTGGTATTAAGTGGTTACTGGAGCCCATAAACATCTACGACGTAAATGCGCCACCCACCTTAAGATTTAAGTTCTGAGGTCTCAGTATGCGCATCCCTATGCCCGTTCATAAGGCTCGTGAGTGAAAGAGAGAGAGAAATACTCGCTTCACCACTCCGATTTTTTATGACCCAAACTGCACGGACAAAATAATCCTACTATATAAGCATGTATGTAACATTGAACGAAAATGTAATAAATAATAATTTAAAAAAAGTAACAAAATACGTCTTTATAGAAAATCCAACTAAAAAATAGAAAATAATTTTTAATAAATTTGAATCAAAGATAGTGAGAGAAAATATGATTTTATTGTAAAAAATTTGCCCATAGATATCTACAATGTAAATGCGCCACCCACCAAGAGACGAAAGCGACTCAAGCCAAAGCGAGAATGAAAATTATTGATTTTCATTGTTATTTTTGAGCAACTCATGAAAATAAAAGGTTATTAAATAAAAAAAGATGCTATAATAAATTATTCATTAATCAATTTACTTTTACAAACATTTCTTCCGTTATCAAACTTTCATATTTGTTATAAAAATAGTCAAATTAAGCATACTGACGAATAACATAAGAAACGTTATTTCCTCCCGGACAAAATTTTATAAGAGGATTGTTAACATACTCTAGTAAATAATGAAAGAAGTCAGCTAGCTGTAAGTCAAGGGAAATGTCATCAGGTGATAAGATTCAGTAAGTGATAGATGCTGCTGCGTTACACCTTTCAAGGTACCAGCTGACAAACTTTCCAGCATAGATACAGCAAGCTGACATTAATTTTCATTCATAGTAGAATATAAACGATCACAAGGTAAATTTTTAGTTGAGAGGAAATCATTGAAATTTTTTTTTTTTTTTCATGTTCAAGCAGCCAGCTGACGTATAATCCACCATGTTATGACCAGCTGACTTTTTTTTTCCTTCAAAATACTAGGTTAACTATAATCTGACAAAATTTCAAATGGGAGGAAATGACTGAAAAAACTTTTTTTTCTCCATGCGTGGGAGGCTGCTACCGCCCGCCCCACCCACGGAGTCGCAGCTGACGGTCGCGAGTATTCATTAGTATAGGTCCCTAATGCATTTGACGAAGTTTCGCTCGAGCAAAAATAATTGACCGAAATTGTACTTGGCTCCTGGACCAGTATGAATCTAGAGGAATTACGTTTTTGCAACTCACCACTAACATTCCAGGACCCTTCGATCTGGTACGAAGACGTTGAGGCTCCGAATTTGAACGAGCTTGGGAAACACATTTCGTGACAGCCCCATATCGGCTGAATTAATAAGCTGAAAACATTTACGTGTTTAATTAATAGTAGATGATGACCGAGCTTTACTCGGTATTTTTAAGCTATTGCATAGATTTTATCGCGGGCCTTGAGCGCGGTGACCGAATTCATGAAATTCCGTAACGAAAAAACCTTACACCCCTCACTCCGCCTACCATGTAGCTCGCTTTCAACACATTTACACGTTGCGCTTGTGTAGTGTTTGCGAATAAGCGCGCAGAATGACGTCACACTGCATGCGCATCATGAAAAGTCTGCCCATCTCTCTCTCGCGCGTTCTAGCTTATGAGTGTGAAGGGGACAGTTAAGGTTTTGCTTTTATTAATGTTCATTATAGCGTGGTCTTGTTTTATTATTTTTTTAATACTAAATTATTATTGTCTAATTATAATTGCATAAGCTGATAAAAAATGCTATGCAATAGCTTTACCGCGGCAGTTCCCGAGTTCCACACTTTTTTTTTTATAACGCCATCTTGTTGTGTCTTTAAAGCGGTTAGTTGCTCTCAATTAAGAAAAATAGTATTATTATTCGCCAATAGATGTCGGGAAGTGTTGATTATTGAAAACACGAATAAAACAACATTTCCTGAAAATAAATCGTAGCTAGATTGATTTATCGCCCCCGAAATCCCCTGTATACTTTAAATTTTATGAAAATCGTTGGAGCCGTTTCCGAGATTCAGATTATATATAAGTATATACAGGAATTGCTCGCTTAAAGGTATAAGATTATTTTATGAAATAGTCACGCCAAACAAATAATCGCATACGGCTAGACGATATTGTATGTGGCAAGTGTAGCTGCGGTTTGAATTTTTCCCTACCTAATCGTTGGTAGCCTAAGGGGCTATTTCAAGTGCTCACGGATCGTTAGGTGAGCTCACAGGCTCAATCTGCGAGAACTGCTAGCACTAGCAAGAGCAGTGTTTCGCTGAGTCTGCTACCGGATCGGAATCGCGACCCACTTAAAAGATTCGGTGAGAAATTCAGTTTTTTTTTTATTCCCACCTACGCGGATAGCCTTGAGAAGCTATTTCAGCTTCGCTCTAACGTGTACGTAACCTCACGGGGTTCAAACCGGAGTGTTGCTAACGCTGGCCCTAGCAAGAGCAGTGCTTCGCAGCATCTACCACCGGATCGGAAACGCGACCCACTGAGAAGATCCGGCGAGCAACTCAGTGGGCTGTGTCTGTGGGTTAATTTACTCGCCGAGCCCTTCATTGCACGCGACGGGTTCGACGGTGGCCGGTGCTTGTGGTACCTAAAAGCACCGTTAGTGAATCGGGAGGATCCGTAATGACATGTTTTGGGCGACGCCGACTATTTACCATTCGGTCTACAGGATCGGGTATGTAATTTCCAGCGGCTACGACAAGAGGGTTCTAATGTCGGGAAACTCAGTGAGTTAAGCTTCTTTAAAGAACAATTATGATTTGAAAATTAGAGTTAACTAATTCTGTTATGCCACTCACCTCATCGCCTCAACGTCATGCTACAAGTTATCTTTATTTACGACTCTAAATACTTCTCCGTATAAACGAAATAAAAATATATATTTAACAAACATTAAATGTAGTTTTAATCTTATATTCATTCCATATCATCTCATCTCATTTCATTTAATTTCATTCCATTATAACATTTTTCATAAAAATAAGAATGTAAATTAAAATAAGACATGACCTAAAGGTCTTAGTTACCAGGTCATAAAATCACTGAACAAACAACAGAAACGTGTAGATGTTTGCGACAAGTGACTTGTGTCTATTGTCTATGGGTTAGTTCGCACGTCGAAGTCTTCGACGAGTACGGTGAGCACGGGGACAGGAGCTTGAAGAGCCCTTAGTGCTTAGTGCGAGTTTCTTAATGTTCTCGATAGCGTAAAAGTTAACTCAATTTTGTATGCCATTGGAACAGCGCCCCTAGCGGCAAACGTATGCAAACGATCCCATTCCATACAAATATGAGCTAACTTTTACGCTATCGACAGCGTTAAAAAACTCGCACTAAGCACACTGCTTATTTCTGTCGTGAAGCAGTAATACGTTTCGGTTCGAAGGGTGGGGCAGCCGTGTTATTGTAAAAACCGAGACATGAGAACTGATATCTCAAGGTGTGTATTTACGTTGTAGATATCCATGGGCTCCGGTAACTGCTTAACACCAGGTGGGCTGTGAGCTTGTCCCCCAATTTAAGCAATAAAAAAAAGCCTAAAAGCAGTCAGACGCGCTTTGACGATCCAATTGCATATAACCTAACAAATATTAGAATGGCTTCGAACCCAACCATCATTGAATGACCTTCGTTTTTATCATCGTAAAAAAATTAGTTCTTTGTTTATATTATAAAATATTTTGTTTATGATTTGTACGTGACATAAATAGTTATAATATTAGTTATTTCCAAACGTGACCTTGAAAACTCAATTAATTGAAGATTAGACGAATTCTTATTCTGTAAATTTTATACAGATTACATTTATCGACTTCTGGTTTTGTATAAGGTATACGCTGGCTTACGTTGTACTTATCTACAACGTAAATGCTGCCACACACCTTGAGATATCAGTTCTAAGGTCTCAGTATAGTTACAACGGCTGCCCACCCTTCATACCGAAACGCATTACTGCTTCAGAAAACAGGCATGGTGGTGGTATCTACGCGCGCGGACTCACAAGACATCCTACCACCAGTTAATGAATGAATGAAATGAAAAAAGGTTTATTGATTAGTGTTTCACTACATTTGTATCTCTTTCATCTTGTATCTTTTATGAGGTAGCAATGCCGCACAAACGTTAATGGCGCGTGCGGAGTGCACACTACACGACTGGTTATTGGCTTGAAGGCTTCCGACATGGTGGACATTTTGACAAAAAAAAACGGTCCTGTAGTCACCCAAAAAGTAAAGTAAAACAACGTCGAATTAATTATGAAGTCGTCGTGGCCTAACGGATAAGACGTCAGATGTTTTCGTGTTGAACGATGCACCGGTGTTCGAATCTCAGGCGGGTACCAATTTTTCTAATGAAATACGTACTCAACAAATGTTCACGATTGACTTCCACGGTGAAGGAATAACATCGTGTAATAAAAATGAAGCCAGCAAAATTATAATTTGCGTAATTACTGGTGGTAGGACCTCTTGTGAGTCCGCACGGGTAGGTACCACCACCCTGCCTGTTTCTGCCGTGAAGCAGTAATGCGTTTCGGTTTGAAGGGTGGGGCAGCCGTTGTAACCGTACTGAAATCTTAGAACATATATCTAAAGGTGGGCGGCGCATTTACGTTGTATGGGCTATTGAGCTATTGAGCTCGTCCACACATCTAAGCAATAAATAAAAAATCATCACATCTTTTTGCCAAATGGCAGCAGCGTTACTGTCGATAGGCATTGTCAGGAACTGGACAAAATGACCGAGAGCATTGTATAGAAATTTTGGGGCTTCTGATCAAAATACCGCGACAGTTGGTTTTGGCAGTCCTCACGTGATGTTAACCTGACACTGCCTAAAAATTCTGAAGAGACCGAAACAGGTGGAAATCTGAAGGTGCAAGGTCAGGACTATACGACGGATGCATTAAAATCTCCCAGTCAAGCTCTCTTAATTTTTGCTGAGGTTAAAGATGTGTGAGGTCTAGCGTTATCATTATGAAAAACCACACCCCTTCTGTTGATTAATTCCGGCCGCTTTCTCTCAACTTATTGCTTTAATCTCATCAGTTGTTTGCAGTAGAGTTCAGAACGATGGTCCTGCCTGGTGGTAACAGCTCATAATGAGCATCACCTTGTTGTGAGTTAACCCGGGTTTCGCCACAGTCTGTGAAGCCTGACCGGCCTTTGACCACGACTTTTTTGCACTTTTTTTGTGCTGGTCTTCAAAAATAGTTTGGTTTCATTACGTCGTAATAAAGAATCACAAATGAGTGCAAGGTTCATTAGGTTTCTTTCAGTGAGCTCGTGAAGTACTCAAATATCGAGCTTTTTTGTGTACCCTTTTTTTTAAAATGCGCCATAACTGTTTTGTGGTCAATTTCTAGTTCTTCAGCTACGTCGTGACTACTGATATGCCGTCCTTGCTCCACTTTTTCAAACATGGCATTCATTTTATATAATAGGGCGACCAGAGCGACGTGCATCTTTGACATCAAAATTTCCGGATTGAAAACGCTTAAACCCAATTTGTGCTACTCTCACAGACGCTGCACTAGGTCCATAAACATCGCAAATTTTTTTCGCGGCTTGCGTTGCATTTTTACCTTTTTTGTAGTAAAATTTTAAAATGTATCGAATTTCTTCATTAGTTTCACTCATCTTGACAGTACGAAAAATAAATAAAAATCACACATTTTCCTAATTTGAATTTGGAATTATCTATACTAATACTATAAAGAGGAAAGATTTGTTTGTTTGTTTGTATTGAATAGGCTCAGAAACTACTGAACCGATTTGAAAAATTCTTTCACTGTCTGGAAGCTACATTATTCCCCAGTGACATAGGCTATAATCTTTTTTGAAAAAAATTATGGATCCCTGCTAAAACTCCAATAATGTAACCCAAGGTGTAAAAAAATCACCTAAAATATTTTTCACATCGCGTGCCCTGCGAAAGCTATTGATGATAGAATAAAATAATGTACTACGACTTTGTAGAACACATTATTATTTACAAAAGGTGTCGCGATAGCGTATGTCTAACTATTATAGTTGTGCCGCAATAAGTGTTCTTTTATTTAAAAAAAATAAAACAACGTTAAACATCGTTGAAATTTTTGTTATAGACCCGAGCGGTGCCGGAGCAGGCCACTAGTCTTCTATAAAATTTAAACTTTTAATGTTACCAAAACCAGCCAGATACAAATAGTAATAGCCAAAGAGATTTTATTACAAGTTCATACATATTACTATAATGCAAAAAGACGTTTTCCCCAACCTATTATTTTGATTAATAGAAATAAAAAATCTT